TTAATTGATTATTGATGCTTTCCCCCTTGTTTCTATAAGGAGAATAAAAAACAGCTTATTCCTTAGACAAGTTTTCATTATGTGCTTCCTCTGCATGGCCAATAACTTCCTTTCTAAAATAGGAACTGCTCTAGTGTTACACTCCATTTAGAATTTCTGTGATTCTGTAAACACTAAACAAATTCAGGATCACTCCACTGGCAAGTGGGAGTATCTGAGTGCATTTGCATATCCCGTTATAATCTTTACTATCACGGGATTTATCTGTTTTCTTTGTATCATCAGCTAGTCCTCACCAGCACAGAACCCTTTTAATACCCCAGGAACAACAGGAAGACCACTTGTTTTCAGATTACTCCTCTTTTAAGTTTAACAAAAATGTGATTTTTAAAAATATGAAGAATACTGTATCAGACAGAAGTATGATAGAACGTCAGTGATCAACACTCGGGGGAAAGGCCCACTGTAGATCGGTGAAGTTTTATACTAGAGAGTTTTGAGTTTGGGGAAGAGACATCAGCATTGAGGGCTAATTAGAATTAATATATATTTATAATGTATTTCAGGGAGCGACCAGGGGTGATGGGGGTCTTGCCCCATGTCTCATGGAGAACTAGACGTTACCCACACCAGTCGTGACTCTGGCAGAATCTCACTTGGCTGTTTCATTCTGAAAAACTCAACATTCAGTTTTTGGACTAGGTTCGCATTTTGCTGCAGTGCAGTTTAGTCAGGTTCTCCTGTCTTGTAAAGCGAGATGTTTGATTGCAGTATTAACAGAGCTAGGAGAAAGATTCCGGTATTAAAGATTGTTGTCTTCTTTTCCCTTTTTGAAAATATGGAAGATGAAAAGCCTTAACTACTTTCATGTGAGAAACTCCAAGAGAATGACCTGGCCCAGTTCTGACAATAAGAAAAGGGAGTGTAAAAAGGAAAAAATAAACATCAGGAAGGTGTGAACATTGAAAAATGTAGTAATCACTCATGGTTGCACTCCATTGTATATCGTTATCAGACAGTGACAGTATGTTTCCTTCTTTTGTGTACAGTCCCAAATTTTATATTATGTTAATGTAGATTTATGTGTGAATTTAACACAGAGAGGTTTTTTCTGTCATAAGCAGTACTCTTACACATTCATACACTGCCTGGGTATGGTATTTTCTAACGCTGTGATCCTGTCTCCACTGGCCAAGGAAACTGTTAGAACCTCTTCACAGGTCATGTGTGATGATGGCTCATGTCTGAACATGGCTCTTGTTAGCAGTGTGCATACATTAATTCCTTGGCCATTAGGGGCTTGATACTGCTCCCATTTAAGTCGGTAATAAAAGTCCCATTGACATGGAAGGAGCAGAATCAAGCCGTAGAAGTAGGAGCTTACACGTCTGTTTGTTTACTTTGTTTACTTTGCTTTAATTAATGTTATAGGAAGCATGATCTAGTAGTTTGATTAAAGTCCAGGACTGGGACCCAGGAGATCTGCCACAGACTTACCATGAGGCCGGTCATTTAACATCTATGCCTCAGTTTCCCCAGCTTCGGAATATGGATGATAATACTTGAACTGGGGGGTTGTGAGGCTTAATTAATTAATGTTTGTGTAGGACTTTAAGATCATTGATGGAAAGCTTTATTATCCCTGCTGATAAAACTTGTGGATGACACAAAGACTGGCAGAGTGGTAAATAATGGTGAGGACAGCACAGTCATAGAGTTATCTGGATCACTTGGTAAACTGGACCCAGTCAAACAAAATGTATTTTAATGCAGCCAAATGCAGTTATACATCTAGGAACAAGGAATGCAGGCCAGATCTGTAGAGCGGGGAACTGTATCTTGGAAAACAGTGACCCTGAACAGGATCTAGGAGTCATAAAAGACAAACAACTCGACATGAGTTTCCAGTGTGATGCTGTGGCAAAAAGGGCTAGTGTGATCCTTGAATGTATAAGCAAGAGAGTAGGAGTAGGGAGGTGATTTTAACCCTGTATATGGCACTAATGAGACTGATACTAGACTATTGTATCCAGCTCTTAAATCCACATTTTAAAAGGATTTTGAAAAATTGGCAAGGGTGCAGAAAAAGACACAAAGATGATTCAGGGGTGGAGAAAATGCCCCACAGTGAGAGACTTAAAGGAGCTCAATCTGCTTAGCTTATCAGAAAGAAGATTGAGAAGTTACTTGGCTACATTGAATAAGTACCTATAGGGGGAGAAAATATTAACTACAAAAGGACTCTTCAATCTAGTAGAGAAAGGCATAACAAGAGCCAATGGTGAGCAGAAGCCAGACAAATTCAAATGAGAAATAAGGTACAGATTTTTAGTACTGAGAGTGATTAACCATTGGAACAAATTACCAAGGGAAGGTGGATTCTCCATTTCTTAATGTCTTCAAATCAAGACTGAATCTCTTTTCTAGAGGATATGCTTTAGTCAAACATTAGTAATTGGGCTCACTACAGGGTGACATTAAAGGGCCTGTGATATACAATAGGTCAGACTTGGTGATATAATGTTCTCCTCTTGCCTTAAATGCTATGAAATTATTGAAGAGTAAAGCGTTATTATTATTATTATTTCATTTTATAATAGTGAAGCTAGCCTAAGTTGTACTTTATAATAAGATCATATTGCCTTGAAGGCAATATTTGTTTTCTCTTATTTGTTTAAATTAGAGATGGCATGGCCATGATATACCTATTAGCCCATACAAACGTTAATCACCAAGTGGCAGACTATCAGAAGTTGTCGTTTCTTTCTTGACATCTCTCCCAGAAGGTGCTTGCTGACTTTGAGAGTGCTGTTTCCAATAGTTACATCATTGTGTCAGCCACTCAGGAGGATCTGAAGGGCATTTTCCCTCTCAATACTATTGGTGGTTCTAGAGAGAGGATTTCAAAGAGAGTAATTTCAGAGAAAATGGCACCTGGCTATTTCCTGGAGAGATGAGGGTTGAGAGTGAAATGTGTGATTTACGGGCAGATAAGAGTTGCTGGGTAGGTCCATCTCTAGTGTAAATCACGGGGTGTGGTGGGGTGAATTTAAGAACTAGAGTTATTTGAAATGCCCCCAATAAAACCCAATGGAATGGGTTTTACTTAGTTTCATTTTGAACTCAAAACGTAACTTAGTTTTGTTAAAAAATAAGCTTGGTCCAGGTTTTATTGGATGAGTTCACTTTAAGGCCACACTTCTCATAATCTACCTGGAAAAACTTCTTAGCTTTAGAAAATATGTTTTCAACTTAACCCCTCGCCCTCCTTCAGGCTCTAGTGTTTGAAAATCTCCATGGAGAGCACTATCCAATTTTCAGAGATTCGCCTGTTGTCTTTCTGCACACCCATCTCATCCCAGAAAGATTTTTCTAGGGTGCAGAGCCCTGTCAACCTGCAGCAGAGAGACAAGAAAGCTTCCTGTTGCCACCATTGTGGTGTTACGCGTGGAATAAGAGATGCCCCAAACTCCTTTGCATGGTTTTTTAAGCTAACCATGTAAGGCACTGTGGAGCTTCTTAGGCCTAAATGTGTCTAACTGCAAACAGAGGTGCAATTGCAGCTGTGGTGAACATACCCACACTAGCTTCACTGTGTACAACCCCGCCTGGAACCCTGGGTATGTACTCACGTTGCTAGCCTGTGCCAGGGTTCGTGCCAGTGCATCGTCACTGCTAGATTCAAGCTAGTGAGGGTATTCCTACTCAAGCTGCAGTCACACCTCTGATTGTCATGTGGAATTACCCCAAGTGTACATCTATACTGCAGCTGAAAGTAATTCAGAGCTCAGTGGATGTACATGTGCTAGCTCTGTTTGAGCTAGTTCGAGCTCTGCTTGAGCAGCTAGTTCGAGCCACTGCAGCCACACTGCTATTTTTAGCATGCTAGCTCTGTTTGAGCTAGCATGCTAAAAATAGCAGTGTGGCTGCAGTGGCTCGAACTAGCTACTCAAGTACCATCTGAAATCCTCGGTACATACTCAGGGGCTAGCCTAAGCTGCTGCCCATGCTACCATGACCATGCTGCTGTTTTTCGCACATGAGCTTGATCAGAACTAGTGTGTGTACATCTGCCTGAGCTGTGGTATAGGCTTAGCCTAAAGGTCAGTACTTCAGTTGTGGGAGTAAGTGCTGCATGGTGAGATGTATGTGTTGCATACCAGGACAGCTTTTCTGAGTAAGATTTGGGGAGAGAGAGTGAAACAGCAGGCTTTCCGGTTGTGCTCTCTTCTCTCCTTCATGAAAATTCAACAGTAAAGAATGGGCGCTAGAGGCCTGTGAAGACTCCCGGAGGAAGAGCAGGCAGTAGAGTCCTCTGCCGTGGAAGACTTCAGACCTTGGGTGGAGGAAATTGCAAGCCACATTGAGCCATTCCTTCCCACTCCTAAGAGGAGTTCTTGTGATAAAGGAGTGTCCCAGTCCTATTAGAGTAGAGGAGGTTTATGGATGTGAAGTGCAAACTGGGCTGACACTCACTGGTTTCATAGAAAACTAGAGAATTTTGCATGAATTCACTGTGAGTTTTGAGTCTGTCCGAACCCTAACCTCCAAACAAACCTGAAGAGATTTGGACCACTTTGAACAAAATCTGCAAGGCTAGGTTAACAAAACCCCTATGAAGTGAAGCAGGCAGCTTTTTCACTAGTTAAGGGTGTGATGGGATGACTCCTCAGTATTCTTTAGTTACTAATTCAATATCTGAAATAAATTTAATCCCTTACAGACTATGTGCATTTTAAGATTCATTCAAGCAAAGAATTATAACCCGTTGTTTTTGCCACACACCTGAAAACTGTCTTTGTTTGCAAGGAGTTGTTAAAGCAGGGGGCTGTTTCCTTGTTTTTAACCACATAGGAGTGAACACTTCATGGCTGATAGACATTCTTTTTTCAGACTGGGTATATTCTCTCCTTATTCAGGAAGCTGGTGGCTTTTCAATGTACATGTGTTAGCCCCATTGTCTTTCTTCTTTCTACCTTCCTGCTTGTTTTCTTTTGCAGATGTCAGCAGTCATCACCAAGTCAGGGGACCTGAAATTTATCTCAGAGCATGACACAGATATAGACTCACCTGTGACACAGTAAGCAACAAATCATTCAAAGCAATTTGCAGTGTTACTTCTACAACTGCTCTTAGGAAACTGAGATATTGTCTGGGGGGGAGTGGGAGGGGGGGTTGTTTTGTTCTTTTAAGCGAGACAGCAAAAAAAGAAGTTAAATTTAGGATAATTGGTCTAGAGAAGTGTTTAAGAAAAATAAAGTGAAAAGGAAATAATGGTTTGTTGTACTTTTTTGCATAGGTATGTTACAGAGATACTGTAAGGAATATAGTGTAAGAGAATTGAGCTGTAATCCAGAGGTGCAGGATTGCCATGAAACATCCCTCAGCTCTTTTGATTAACCCATATTGTTATGAGCTGCCAACTACTTTTTGCACCTTCTAAGAATTAATTAATGTAAATTGAATGAGTTTGTCACATGTAAGGAAGACAAGCCAGCCAGCATCTTTACATTTGTATTTTGTGTGTGTGTGTGTGTGTGTGTGTGTGTGTGTACACATATATATGTAGCTATACAATGTGTGAAACTTTGAAATAAATAAGATCTAAACATTTTGCACAAGATCTTCCATATGGATGCTTAAATACTTGTTTTTCCATGTCATCTTCATGTTATCCTAACCATTATTTGAAGTATTTGCATTCATTTATTTTTGAAGAATACCTAGAAAATACTTGCGTTCCTTGTCATTAAAGAGCTGATCATATAATAACCTATCCTTGAGTGTTAGAGATGGTTTTATATCTCTAATTTTAACCATGTCTCAAAACCCTCATTGCTAGGGTTCCATCTTTGTGTCTAGATTCAGAAATAAATGGTGAAGGGAAAGGTTGCTTAACGCTCATGTGCCATAAGAAAGGGGGCTGTAAAACTACACCGTGACACAATATGAGGTTGCATTTTGAGCATAATTGTATTAACAGGATTGTGTTCAAGAAGAAAATGAATGGTTTAGTAGGAGTACACACAAACTTGATGCAATTTTTTAAAAACAGGACTTGGACCACAGTATGATAGGACTGCATAGTTAAAACTTCAGTAAAGGTGATTTTTTTTTTTTTAGCGTCTTCAAAGTAGTGTAGGAGTAGGGATTTATAAAATATGGAATTCACAAAGAATATGATCTAATTCAGGGTTTGGGGAGCATTACTAGGTATAAAATGTTCATTTAAATGAGAAATAAACACGTCATGAGAGTAGGTCACATTAGCAATCTGGTTCAGATGCTGGATCCTATGAGGGAAATAAAGAGCCTAAGAAACCTTTCAACTGCAATTCAGAAAGATGTTGGATGCCTGAGTCATCGGAATTTAAATTCTAGCAGTCCCTCTTCCTGTGCAGCAGGGAGTAGGAGTGTCACATAGATGCCACTCCAAACATGAGAGGGACTGAAGGACATGCTACTCAAGAGGGGGGAAAGACAATAACAGAAAATGTGGAAATGGCAAAGGTGCTTAATGACTTCTTTGTTTCTGTTTTCACCAAGAATGTTGGTGGTGATTGGCTGTCTAACATAGCGAATGCCAGTGAAAATGAGGTAGGATCAGCATCTCAGACAGGGAAAGAACAAGTCAAAAATTACTTAGACAAGTTAGATGTCTTCAAATCACCAGAGCCTGATGAAATGCATCCTAGAATACTCAAGGAACTGACTGAGGAGCTATCTGAGCCATTAGCAATTATCTTTGAAAAGGCATGGAAGACGGAAGACAGAAAAAGGGCAAATATAGTGCCCATCTATAAAAAGGGAAATAAGGACAACCTGGGGAAATACAGACCAGTCAGCTTAACTTCTGTACCCGGAAAGATAATGGAGCAAATAATTAAAAAATCAATTTGCAAACACCTAGAAGATAAAAAGGTGATAAATAACAGTCAGCATGGATTTGTCAAGAACAAGTTGTGTCAAATCAACCTGATAGCTTTCTTTGACAGAGTAACAAGCCTTGTGGATAGCGGGTATATCTTGACTTTAGTAAGGCTTTTGATATTGTCTCGCATGACCTCATAAACAAACTAGGGAAATACAACCTAGATGGCGCTACTATAAGGTGGTTGCATAACTGGTTGGAAAATCGTTCCCAGAATTACCACTTTCAGCTGCAGTATAGATGTACACTTAGGGTAATTCCACATGACAATCAGAGGTGTGACTGCAGTTTGAGTAGTTATCAGTGGTTCACAGTCATGCTGGAAAGGCATAACAAGTGGGGTCCTGCAGGGATCGGTTCTAGGTCCGGTTCTGTTCAATATCTTCATCAATGATTTAGATAATGGCATAGAGAGTACACTTATAAAATTTGCCGATGATACCACGCTGGGAAGGGTTGCAAGTGCTTTGGAGGATGGGATTAAAATTCAAAATGAGCTGGACAACCTGGAGAAATTGTCGGAAGTAAATAGGATGAAATTCAATAAGGACAAATGCAGAGTACTCCACTTAGGAAGGAACAATCAGTTGCGCACATACAAAATGGAAAATGATTGCCTAGGAAGGAGTACTGCAGAAAGGGATCTGGGGGTCATAGTGGATCACAAGCTAAATATGAGTCAATAGTGTAACGCTGTTCCAAAAAAAGCAAACATCATTCTGGGGTGTATTAGCAGAAGTATTGCAAGCAAGACACGAGCAGTAATTCTTCCACTGTACTCTGTGCTGATTGGGCCTCAACTGGAGTATTGTGTCCAGTTCTGGGCACCACATTTCAGGAAAGATGTGGACAAACTGGAGAAAGTCCAGAGAAGAGCAACAAAAACGCTTAAAGGTCTAGAAAACATGACCTATGAGGGAAGATTGAAAAAATTGGGTTTGTTTAGTCTGGAGAAGAGAAGACTGAGAGGGGACATAACAGTTTTCAAGTACATAAAAGGTTGTTACAAGGAGGAGGGAGAAAAATTGTTATTCTTAACCTCTGAGGATAGGACAAGAAGTAATGGGCTTAAATTGCAGCAAGGGCGGTTTAGGTTGGACATTAGGAAAAATTTCCTAACTGTCAGAGTGGTTAAGCACTGGAATAAATTGCCTAGGAAGGTTGTGGAATCTCCATCATTGGGGATTTTTAAGAGGAGGTTGGACCAAACACCTGTCAGGGATGGTCTAGATAATACTTAGTCCTGCCTTGAGTGCAGGGGACTGGACTAGATGACCTTTCAAGATCACTTCCAGTTCTATGATTCTATGTCATTACTGTCCTGTTTGGACAGGCAGCAGTGCTGCACAGAAGGTTAGTTCTCAGGCTTTGCGGATGCTGAGGCCATTTGAACCTGATAATAGGAGAGGGAGAGACACTCCAGCTCAAAGTCTGCTGCTGCACCTTGACAGGAAGGAGCTAATTTAGAAGGGAAGGGGATTAAATGAAAAGATGGGCAGGCAAGTTTTGTACAATGCTCCTTTCTCAGGGACACATTAGGGTTTTTTAAAACTTTAGTTTGCTTCTTGATGTTTTGGCTTTTCTAACATCATGGGGAGAGCTGCTTTTGAGCCTAAAACAACATTCTTCTCGAGCTCCTGTGCCATGAAAGAAACAGGAAAGCAGCCAGTTGTGCATGTAAATATAGCTGCAAAGAAAGAGATTGAGAAGTTATTCCACACAAAAATTCCCGTCGTAGACAAGAGTTCAGTCATAAGAGATAAAAACACAGGCAGGATTCAGGAGATTGATCTGTGGGTCAGAGTCCTTGAAAATACAATATCTGGACTGGATGCCAAGATTCATGATCTCTTCAGACAGCAGTGCCTACCTTATTGAGACAGCACGGAAGGATAATGTCGTTCATTCATTTCCTATTGTTCTTCGACTAGCCCCTGCATGTTCCCACTCATGGGATGTGCTGGAGTGCAGCTCCTGAGGTGGAACATTTCAGAACAGTTTCCTCCAGAGCGCTCTCATGCCCCCTCCTCCCTGCCTTCACTGTTCCTAAATATTCTGAGCGGGAGGCTATAAAAAGGAGTCATGGCATTCCAGCCACCTCCGTTCCTTCCAAACACAGCAGCAGAAAGACCAAGAAGCTCTCCAGATTGATCCATCCTCTTTGAGGACTCAGTGCCCTAGATAGATTTTTTTAGTTAGGATTAATATTAGAAATTTTAGCTTATTTGTTTTCTTTCTTAAAAGTATTTATTTTTTTAGTTTTTATTAGTTCCAGCATCTCAGTTCAGGTGTCTGTGGCAGGTCTGAAAAGGAAGAGACCAGGATTTAAGAGTTGTGCCTCTTGTTGTGCTGTATTCCCACTTTGAATGCCCATACCAGGTGTCTGGCTTGCTTGGGGGAAGGAATGCTCTCCTGCATGGTACACAGTCTGCAGCACCTTCATCCCAAGAGCTCACAAAGAGTGTCAGAGCCAGCACCAAGCCTTAGTACTTCTGGAGGCGCTAGCAGCCAAACCCTACCCACCTCTGTGAGTGCAGAGAGGCCTGTGTCAGCTCCTACCCCTTCAGGCAATAAAAAGCTCAAGATGCTGCTGAAGGTACTGTCAAAGGATCCTAAGCCATCAGATCCCAGTTCAAGACACAAATGGAACCCCATATGTGTTAGCAGAGACAGTCATAGTGGGAGCAGCCCTTCACATCCAGTACCTCTGTTCCAGATAAGATTATGGTGCAAGTATGGCACCTGTTAGCAGGGCAGAGCACCATTCCCGACCCCTCTTGGATCCTTAGGTCAGTTATGAAAACACCCTGGGCCAAAGGTTAAGGCCATGGCACAGTGCAAATGCCTATAGAAGTGTCATGCCCCTAATGCAACAACCATATCAGTTCTGGATCTTGGTTGTGACTCCTTGGTGCCATCAACAGAGATCAGATCCTCAATCTAATATTGAAATAGATTGTGACAGATAGGTTAAATTACCATTTCTGTTCACAAAAAAGCATATCAGGGCAAATGCTACATAGATGCTCTACACAGTTCACATATATACAGACCATGCTCTTACCCTAGTAGGTACTATGATGGGGAACCTGAAGCAAAATATTGGCAGGATTGACAATTCCCTCCTTGTGCCAGATGAACTTACTGGTCCTCACGAGGTGTTATGGGGATAGTGAACACACTTGTCCTTACAGGGACCAGTCCCCTCCTAGAGGTCAGGGGAAGCTTCATACATTGAATTTGCTGCTCCCATATCAATCTGCATCACTGGGCTATCAGGACCACTTCCCATCAGTAGTCCCAGAAACCCTTTCAGAGGAAGAACCAATGGGACCCATGGAATTCCAGGACACACATCTAGAGCCTGCTGATGAGACCTTTCCTGATGATAACGTAGAAGTTGCTTCAGCATCTTCCCCATCAGAAGATGTCATTCAGTTTCATGAACTGTTGGTCACAAGGGCTTCAACTTCACCTCTCAATTGCAGGAGTGTGAAGATATGCTACATGAAATGCTATATACATTTACAAAACATTATGCAGTAGACCTAGCCTCCCATTCAGATGCTCACTTTGGTACAATGGTACTTCAGTCATTATTTAATTAGGACACCACGTCCCACCTTCCTCACATGTCAGAACTGCATATCAAATTATTCCATGAGTGGGGATATACACAGGCCACTAGAAGAAGAGGAAAAAATGAAGGTCACTCACCTGGAACTTAAAGATGGGCCCTGCACATTCACAGTCCCTGCCTACCTTCCTATTTTCCCCAAAGTCCTAATGTAATCTTGGACCTGAGGAGGAGGTGGTGGAAAGAGTTGTGGTGGCCAGATTACCTTGCCCCTTTTTTTATAGCCTCCCGCCCAGAATGTTCAGGATCAGTGAGAGTGAGGGTGAGGGTGCTCCAGCAGGCACTGCTGTCGAACATTTCGTGCTCGGAGCCATAGGCACCAATTCTGTGGGTGCTCTGGGGCTCAAGCACCCACTGAAAAAAAAAAGGGGGGGGGGTTCTCAGCACCCACAAGCCACCAGTAGGTGGCATGAGTATATACATGGCACTCAGTGAAGGCGGAAAGCACCCACTGGTCAAAAACAAAAGTCAGCGCCTGTGCTCAGAGCTGCACTGCCAGTACATCCCAGGGGTTTGGATGTGCACAGTTCATCTCAAAAGAACTCTGTTTACAGGAGAATAGCCTTCATTTCTTCAGCAAGACTACCATTTGAAGGGCTTGCATATGAAAGCTTATTGCACTAGAGCAGTATCTCCAACATCAACTATTTTTCTGACTTGCAACTTCCAGGGCAGCTCCATGAAGCTCTTTATGTACTTTGGACTTCAGTCATCCATGCTTATTATTTATTCATGTGTACTGTGGTAGCACTTGGAGTCCTGGTCATGGACCCAGACCCCATAGTGCTGAGCACTATGCAAACACAGATCAAAGAGATGGTCCCGGACCCAAAGAGCTTACAGTCTAAACTAAGTCATTATTTAAGTACGGTTACATCAACTTCTGCCCAGAACAGAGGATCCATGACTTTGCCTTGATGGGGGTTGCAGCACTATAATGCACTCAAATTCCTGCTCTATTTGGGGGTCTGCAGATGGCCATCACAACCCATAATTGGGTGGCAGCAGTTGGGGAGGGTATATAAGGAAATTGACTTGATTCATGATGTGTTTGGAGCTTATGTGAAGTGCCCAGTCCATTAGTGGAAATGAAAGCAGCTTGCATTTCTGTAAATACATCCTAGTTCAGATACTTTAAATGATCAAATGAGTTACTCCACTTTGCATGATTTTCCTAGAGTGGGTGAATGAATAAATAAACCAGGAATCTCTCTTTGACTGGAATATTGTGGAAATCAAAGTTGGAGGATGAAAAATATTCTGTAATGGCTCTTTGGAGGAGGCCAGAGGGTTGGTAATTTGACATTTTTAAATAATTAAATTTATTGATTACTCAAGGCTCTAGTTAGTTTTAAAAATCATAGGCAGCTGTCATCAAACAGGACTGTTAGAACATATGTTGCAAAGCAAACCAGTGGATTTGGAACAGAGACCACCATACTTGGATCTAGTGCTTTTGTCTGTTTTGGTTCTGCAGTAGCACAGTAGTACTTACAGCTGTTTCACCACTATACCCAGGGGGGAAATGCAGACAATTGTTTTAGCATGTCAGCTGTGGGTGGAAATAGCTCTAAACTTTAGCTAATTCTGTATGTTTCTTATCCTCCTTCTCTCCCCCTCCCCAATAGAGTTACGAAGAAGAAGAAAAGGATACTGAAGAATGAAACAATGGAAAATCCGCCAAATTTAATGGCTCTTGACACCCCTGTATCATCAATTACTACTAACAGTGTTGAAAACAAACCTAGAACACATGGGTTAGAACTGAAGAAGAAGAAAAGAGCAGTGAAAAACTCAAGTGCAAGTGGAAAGACAAATGTTGCCTTTGAACCTGACAATTGAAGTGTCATAAATGAAGTCATCATTTAACTCCAGATATAGGTGTTGCATTCAGAATATTATATGCAAAAAAATGGATTTGAATGGGATTTATGCTGAAATGATAATCTCACTTTCAGGATAAAAAAAATTGAAAACCAAAACATTAAACATAGACAAACACAAAATTCCCCCATACTCCTTTCAAGACATGCCATGTGGTCTGGAACCTAATTCTGCAAGGAACCTGGCACCTCCAGCTCTTACTGAGGTTAACGAAACTTGAGTATCCAGCACTTCACAGGATTGGGCTCCTGGACAGTTCAAGCCTGAAGTTTGACTTTCATATTTCCCAAGAGCAGCATTTACAGATGCATTCTGAAATAATCTAAGTCCCAATTCTGTTACCTTTCTCATGCTGACTAGAATTTTACTGTTGGAAAGATTCCCATTGACTTCAATGGGCGTTGGATCCAAGCCATTTTTGAGCATGAGCAAAGGTGGTAGAGTGAAGTCCAAAATTGTTAGTACTCTGTGACCTAAAATGAAACAAGCTTGACCAGGATAGAAGGTTTCGTGTTAGCAATTTTGATTTTCTTGCACGTAAAAAGACAGACAGTATTCTGTATTTAGCATGTGAGCACTCTGAAAGAATCTTACACAGGTCTACATGAAAACATACACTTTTTATGTCTTCCTGTTGTTGAGTATTCACTTTGGACTAGATTTTGCAATCCTTGTTTATATTGGTGAACACCTACTCATGCAAGTAAATTTACTTCAGTGGAACTGCTTGTAGATAAAGCTCACCAACATGAGTATGGATTGGAAAATTCATCTTTTTGGTACATTGATTTTTAAAATGAAGGCTTTTTATAAATATATAAATGTGCACTAAAACTTTGTAAAACTCAGTTTTTGCTGCACTCAGAGCAGCATTGCCAAATATATTTTACTTTATTTTGAAGAAATGTTTCATATCAAAATGGGTAGTTTATTTTATGCTGTGTGTAGTATTTATTTCCTTTATATGTTTAGTTTATCTCTTTTTTAAATTAATAGCACTATGTTGTGAACCATTATTAATTATTTCAATAACTTCTTACAATACTATCATTTTACATTTGACATTAAATGAAATACTTTCCATCAGTTAATGCTGGTATTTTTTTCTGACTGATGGCGTCCAGTTTATTTTTACTCTGCTAGGAAAATCTTCCCCCTCCCCCTCTGAAGCAATAAATAACATAAAATTAGAAAACCCTTATTTAGTAGACAAGGCACTTGATTCCATTAAAAAAAGAAGTGAGAATAACCATGTTGGGCACTGATGTGTGAAATGCACCCAGATGCAAAGGACTAGTTGCCATATATTCTAGTATCATCCCTGCACATGTTTTGAAGGCATAAAAATATGTAAACATGTTTCTGTTGGGTAAAACTCCCCAGGAAAAAAATCCTTTATTCAGGGGCATTGTTAAGGGCTCTGTTTGCCCAGTGCGTGTGTGTATGCAAATCCCATATTCTCCTAAACTGGAGTTACATGTGTGCACTGGGGTGATAATGAACTCCTGTGTGTGTTTCCCTAGCCATATATTATAAAAGCATATTATTCCGGTGTAGTGAAACTGCTTAATATTTTAGCCTGGCTTCTTGTCTAGCTGCTGTTGAAATACAGCCCAGCTGCTACTTCAGTGAGGTGTGTGGGATTTAATGTTTTATGAAAGGAAAACGTCAGCATCTTATGACTTTAAAATGCCATCGGTCACATTTAAAGATAAGGGCAAAGCATGACATCAGGCTACACGTCAGGGCGAGTGGAGCCGTAGCCAAGAGCTGGGTGCTCCAGCCTAGTAAAATGTTAATTTGGCATTGTGGATGCTGAAGATAAAAATAACACTTCACATACACACCAGAGAGAAATGCTAGTTCTAATCAAAGGCACAGTGCCTCCTTTCATGCTTGCGAACTAGGGCTCCAATTATGTTCACTGCTCTGAAGCTGAACAGAGCTGCTTTGCCACACTTTCCAAATTGAGAGAGGAGAGGCAGAAGACACGTCTTTCAAGGCACAGTTCCAAATAACAGTTAAGCAGAGAAATCAAATAAAAGACCCAACATGAAAATTTATGGAGTTGAAAATATCCTTTAAAAAACTGTTTTGTTACTATTCTCATTATTACAGAATCACTGGCTTTATTTGCATTATCCTTTTCTCCCCGCCTCATGGAGGTTAGATTCTTTTACTGCTTTGTATTCCTTCAGTGCAGTGTGAGAGCGAACTGCATTTACTTCAGAGGAAATGAGAAAGAACAAAGATCTGCATTTAACAAAACAACACTTCTGAGCCATTTTCAATATCCAAATTAGGAGATTCAGATTAAGATTATTATTAATCTTTTAAAGTAGTACGTATCAGGAGATAATATCAAGGACTTGTAGTTTTTACCTGTGTTTAGAAATGTAGCTAATACATTATGTAAAAAAATCTCATTTTTCCTTTCAGTGGTGTTGAAGTCTGAGAAATGGGAATGCTTTTTCCCCCCCGGCATTCATATTATGTTTTAAATATACGTACAACCATCGAAGAATAAGTTTTCTATTTGTCAAGTCAATTTGTAGTAGCAAGGGGATGGTTTAGTAAACTAATCTTGGAAATGAAACTTTGTCTCCTTGTGTAGCATGGTGCCTTTTTCATGATAATGCAGCACACACACACACAAAAAGTTATAAAAGGTGAACTTCACACACTTGGTGGCAACTTTCTAGACATTTAGAGGGACTAAATTTTAATTTGGGGGAGGGGGATTTCAGAATGCATACTGCACAAATGATCGGAAAAAAATTTCCTCCTCCCCCCCCCTTTTTTTTTAAGAGCTGCACATTAAACATCTCAAAATGTGAGTGAGCTGAGACCTTGTTCACTAAGCTACTGCCCAGAATGGCAGAGTTATAAATACCTGCATGAGGGGTTTCTACAGGAAACACAAACTTAACCTTGATCTATTGGCACAAATAGTGTCATTGGAATAATGACAATGGCAATCACTGGTGGAACAAAGCAGGTAGAAATCTATATAAAGAGATGAAAAATTACAAAAGTTTATAACTACCTGACCAGTGATAGTATAGTGGTTTGTTGTTTTGGGGTTCTATTGTATATTTTTTTCTGGATACATACATTTCTCCAGCTGTAACATGTATTTGTGGTTCAGCAAAGAAATGTTGAACACTACACAAATGTGAACAATTAAAATGGAAAGGAAGAGACAACTCATTTTTTCCTTGTATTCCCCCATAACCATCAGCTTGCATTTGTTTTTTGCCTTAATGCTTTAAGGAATGGACATCATAAAACACAAGTCGTGTATTTGTAGCATCACTTAACTCAAAAGGCAATAGGCAATGGATCACAGTCAAATAAGGGCTAATGAGAACACAGAAGAACATGACAATTGAAAGTCTCTGTTGACTAGTGAACTAAATCTGCCGGCTGGACCCGATTGTCTGATGAAGAATTGAATGTCAGTATCATTTAGGGTTAACAATGGTCCAACACAAGCAAAAGCAGACAGCTATGAAAAATAGCCGGCATGGTAGCCATTCTGCAGAGACCGTGGATGCAAACTTGATAATGAGGCACTTCATTCACCACATCTTTCTGCTCTAATTACTGAGGTGAATAGGAAATACTTCATCTAAGGCGGGAACAGTCTAAAGCAAAAACACTTGTTTGGTAAACACAGAAGTTTTTTTTTTAAATGATTCTTTTCTTGCATCTATGAAATTAGTATGAACTTCAGTTTCATACTCACCTTTGCATTAGCATGTGTGCCTGTTCAAAGTTTCGTCTCCAAGTACAATGGGTGTTAGACATTAGCTCTGTCCTAGTGTAGTATTATATTTTTAAAAGTGTACAGCCTCCAGCTGCTTAAAACTAAGCAGCTATAATTTTAAACTGAATCACCAACTAAACTGTTTCAGTTTTACACAGGGCTAATGTAACAGCTTAACTAGTTTTCCACCATTGACTTAAAGTCCAAGTTAGAGCTTATCCTAACTATTCATTTTATAAAATACCTACTCTCTCCAATTGAAGGGGTAACCTAGAGTGCCAGAAAAAGTTACATCAGTAACAAAGTATAAAACTGGGCACACTTTCAATGCATATGGTACAGTCTTAAAAAACGCAGTTGTAGTAGTCTGGAAGTTGGGGGGCAGAGGGAAGAGAAGTATTTGCTGAAAGTTAAAGGAGATGAAAGGTTAATTTACAGGTCTTTCATATTTGTTGCTTAGCATTCTGTCCTAAAACTACCCAGAATGTTTTGGAGGAAATAATTTATGGATGTGCAACTGTGCCTGTAAAAACATACTGCATCAATTCAAAGGTTTGTATTGCTTAAAAGTATCAATGTGTGCATTTGGAACAGAACTACTGAGCGTAAGGAATAAAAGGGAGAGGAGGTTTGAAAGAGGTAAATGAGCAGCTTGAGAAGAAAACTGCTGTCTGGGGCAGATTTAGGAAAATGTAGCAACTAGGAATTGGAGCTTGAGAAGAAGGAACAGAAGAGAGTGGAAAGGCTCGTTATATTATAACAGAGCTTTGGTGGCTTCCATCATGTTTTTTTAATCTTTAGGAGCTAAGACCTTTTAATCATCCCACCAAGCTCTTCATCCTTCTGTGGTGTGTACGCTGAGTTCCATGCTATTTACTGGAGTCCTTCAGACTAAACCTTAGAAACCAAGAGGGAGATTCTGGGCCGAGCCTCTAAGAGGCGCAGCATGGAACTCTCAGCCCAGGGGGAAAGGGGGCTATGGTGGCTTTGTGCTCTCCCACTCCTAGGCTGCTCCAGGGACTGGAGAGGCATCTGTCATAACTTAGATGGGCACTGCCGGTAACTGCTGACGCTGTGGTGCCACAGCCCTATCCCTGACATGGCACCCTGATCATGCAAGCTACTCTGTGTGAGCAGACCCCTGTGCCCAAGTAGAACCCCATTGAAATCAGAGGGGAGGGGGACAGTCTGTGAGCAGGGTTCCACGTGGTTGGAAAACTTTTCAAAATGAGGGGCTATGGTTTACACATTACTTTGTGATCCTTCACACTTTGCAGTCAAAAGGCTGCATTTTCATTGTGCTCTGACAAATGTGGATGGCTACTTTGTATTTCATCTAACAAACTCCAACCACCTGACTATGTTTTGTCGCTATACTCTTTGCACTATGGTCGGCTGTGGCCAACCAGTTTTACAATTCCTGTCTAATGCTCAGATGTGAATATTCAGTAGAAACTGCAGATGCCACTTTTAGCGGAAAAAAGTTTCCACACCGGTAAAGAAATATCAGTAAAATCTATGCAGTGAGAAGACATCAAATTCTTGTTATACTTATATCTCCTGCACAGGCAGGGAGTATAATAAACTAGTCTGCAGCAGCTGTAAATTTTCTGAGGATTTATCTAACCACAAATACATTGAAATGGGGAAATGGGGCTATATTAAACTGTGCAAGATGCTGCTGGAACTTAGCCATTTCTGCAACATCCTGTAATTAATTTATTATGACAGGTCTGGCAAACTGAAACACCCAATACACTTGCGACAGACTGTTATGATATAGCTGTTTGAAAACTCTGTAGTCACATAACATGCAGGTATAGCTGAAAAAATACAGCAGGGAAATATTAAATTGATACATTATTTCTCCAGAGGTAGCAATCATTCCCAGAGCCACGTTCTTCAAACCCTTGGAATGGCCCTGGGTAAGTAGAGCTAGACAGAATTCTCCAGAATATACAAAGTTGGATCCTGCTCCTCAAGGAGTCAAAGTGATAGACCAGGCAGAGATACTCAGAGCATAGAATCATAGACATGTTGGGCTGGAAGGGTCTTCAAGAGGTCAGCTAGTCCCCACACCATGTTCAGCAAAAGCAACTGTACCCCACACATTTTGTGAGTCCAGGCTGAGCAGCCTGTTTTTGCCCCTCTGGATGTTGGACATGTTCAGTTTTGTTCAATAATATTGAAAGAGGACACCATTTATTTTGTTTCAAGACCTGAAAAAAAAAATAATACTCAAAACTACAAAAGGGTTTTTGGGGGTATGGCTGGTCCACATTAGAAACAGGGTCTGAAGAGGCTCTCTGTTTATTCA